CCAGTGTGGAAATCATTTCAGTAGAATCCTGTATTTAACATGGATTGGTGTTAAGACTCTGGTCAAGTGATGTTTCCAGAAACAAAACAAGCTGTGGACATAGAGAAAGTCTGACTAAACACAGTTAATCCATAAACTTGTTAGCCCTGTGCTCTAGTTCTAGGTACTAACATTATAGTAAAAGTTTAATTTCAGCTTCATCATTGAAACTTTTTCTTGAGTTAGATGGGCGAATACTCCTTTAGAGGCATGAAGAAAGAGAAGTGCTTTCTCTTCCCATCTACCCTTTCTTGAGTACATAAATTTCCTTAGATATCTTGACAAGGAGCCAAGAAGACTTGGTGATAAAATAAGCAAATGCAGTTAATTTGGAATCTACTTATGCTATACTTAGAATTTAGCAATTTACACATGAATATTTACTAATGGAGCATGAATAAATATGATAGCTATATGATGATTTTTCTATAGAAAGAAGGTGCAAGAAGGTTAGACTTTGATGTAAGATACTGTAAACTGGTTTGTCCTTGCATTTTCATGGGGTAAGATTTTGTAGTACTTGTGAAATTAAATCACTTTGATCCACTGAAATAATTGATTATAATATTCAGGATTTAATCTTGTGGAGATGAAGCCATTTTAGCAGTTCTGTGTGAGACTCATAAACTTTATTATCTATTTGAATAGACTTTTTCATTTTTCTTTTCTACTTACTGCCTTTACCTTGGAGGTAAATTATTGCTTTTACCTTGAAACCCCTTCTGGATTTCAGCTATCCTAGTCAGAGTGGGTAAATTGTTATTGTTTTTATAGTTAATAATAGTTATCATTTTCTGAATGCTGACTGCATGCCAGGCACTGTGCAATGTGATTTTTGTGCATTATTTCATTTAGTCTCCCTAACATCCTTTGTAGATTAACATCATTGTTATCTCCTTGATAGATGAGGTGAATGAGGCACTCAGAGAGGGCAGGTGACTTGTCAAGCCCTCTTCTCGCCTTCACCTATGCTCTTGACCATTATACTTACTGCCTCCATATATTATTTCAAGACTAACTTCAGACAGCACATTCTCTAATTTTATACTTCACCACATTCTACAAAATCATACAAAACTGGGCAGTGTTTCCTGAGCTGGTCTCTCTGGTAAAAGGCTAAAGCAATAGTGGAGGGTTGGTTTCAGTTACGGCTTTTACCTTGGAGGTAATCCTTCTGGATTTCAATTTCCTTGTCTTTAAGAGAACTAGAACACAGAAATACCAAGGTCTTCAAATCTGTGAATCTTTGGCAAAATTGGTCGAAGCATTGACTTCATTTTCTTCAGTGGGATTTAGAACAGATAGAATCTACTAATTTATGTCCTCCATTTTTCTTCCTTTAGATCTAAGTATTTTTCCTGGTAAGGCTGAGGTTTCTGACTGGCACTGGTTAGCCTGGACATGAAGGGACAGTGAATCCAAGTTGCTGAACAGCTGTGTGCAAGGCATTGTTCTATGCTTACTATGCACATTGTCTCATTTAATCCTCACAGAATCCCTCGTGAATACTTATCTTCATTAAAAAAGAAAGCAACCACACTATGCTTATGAGAAAACTGAGGCTCATAGTGATTAGTTAACCTGCCCAAGGTCACCTAGCAGGAAAGTGATAGAGCCAGGATTTGAACTTAATTCTTTCCGGCCTTAGGTTGGTTTCATAGTGCCTCTCACATTCCCTGTTGTTTGTTTACTTTTATTTGAATATTCAAAGATTCCTCGTGCAAAAATAGTATTAATAGTAAGGGACTTTTCAGGGAACTTTCTGTTGATCAGTTTACACCTGACAGAGATTCCCTGTGTCCCATCATGAGACTGAGAACTAGGCAGAGGGCATCGATATAGCTCCAGTCATTGGAGAACTCAGGTATTTTTAGACATGAGATTTTTAAAAAATCTGCTCAAGCAGTTTTGGCTTATCTGAGGTGGTTTAGCATATCCAGACTTTTCTGATTTATATAAATTAGCCAGGCAGAGGAATATCATTGATAATAACATTTCATAATTATAGATTCCATTTTCTTTCATATGAGATTTAAATAGCTTTTTGCCCATTCTTTGTCATTTTCCAGGTGGAGAAGCCTTAGCAGAATTTTACCCAAGGTCACAGAAGTGAATCAATTGGTGGCAGAAATAATAATAAACTTAAGAGTCCTCTGTCTCAGTACCATATCCTGAACACTGAATCCACTTGAAATATTATGGTCTCATGGAAAGCAAACTGCTGTTCCCAAATGATAATGCTGTTGTTCTTGATGATGATGGTGATAATATTATTATAATTAAAAGTTTAATTATACCTGCGTTAGAAACACTGTCCTAAGTCCTTTACATGTATTAATTTATTTATGCCTCACAATCCTCTAAGGTAGGTTTATGAATGAGGAAGATACAATTATCTGCATATTACAGATGAGGAAATTGCTCCCTCTCTGCATTTGCCACATAATTGAATGCATATTCCTTCACTTCTATGAAGGGCCTCTAGCTTAGGGACCATTTCTTATGAAGACATTTGAATTCCTTTAAGTATTGACCACAAAGCTGGGGACATAGCAACAGTTTATCAAATCTTCTATTTTACCGATTGATCAATTGGTACAGATGAATTATTCTCGCAGTGCCACACCATGAAACTGATATAGAGATCTTGGACTTGTTCCTCATACAAAATTGAAATATGCTTGTTTCCGTTTGTTAATCTTTTGGTATTTGCATTGCAGAATAAAATACAGGGTACTCAATTCAATTTAAATTTCAGATAAACAACAAACAATGTTTTAGCATTTAAGTTACATCTCAAATATTGCAAAGGATATACTTCTAATGAAACAAATTATTTGTTGTTTATCTGAAATTTAAATTGAAGTAGGTATCTTATATTTTTATTTGCTAAATCTGGTAATGCTATCTAGTGTTCATAAAATAATAACTTTAAAGGATATCCTGAAAAGACAGAGCTGTCATTTTCTTCTTACATGCTATAATGTAAGCCTTGAAGAAATTAGGATATTTTCATCTCACTGGATCTGAACCAATGTTCTAACCTTAGTCAAAAGGTGCCTACTTATGAGGGGAACAAATATTCTTTTCAGTATGTCACTAGAAACGTACTAGTAATATAATCTCAAATGCCTTGAGTCCAACTGCCTTCCAACTCTAAAATTCTTTAATTCTAAGTAACTCTCAAATATCTAAACCGGGTTTCTACTTTTCCCAATTAGTATTTGTGTTTCAACCACCCTGCATGGAAACATGGGTTATGAAATGTCTTCACAAGTATGGTAGGCAATATGCTGCTATTGTGTGTTGCCTTGGACTTCTAGAAGTCTAGGTGTTGGTGGTTATTATATGGTGGTAGTAAAGTAAAATCCTCCCTACTGTTTTAGTACCCACAATACTACTTTTCATACTGTAGCTACTGCACCTTCAGTCTCTCTGTCAACCTCTGATCTAAAGACTTCTTTACTTTTTTAATTAATAACATTCTTCTTGCCTAATACTGTATTATGGACTTCATCAGGGACGGGACTAATTCATCTTTGTATGCTGAGGTTTAAACTGAAATAAAGTAATCCCTCAACTAACATTTTGCAGAGTCCTCCTTAGGTTCCCCCACAAACCTGCCCCTATTTTAGTTAATAGAATGCATTCCCACCGACATGCTAGAAATTTCAGCATTGTCTTTGGTCCTCCCTCCAGTCTAATCTGAACCTCAAAAGTCATCAAGGCCTGTGGCTTCTGTCTTTAAAACGTCTTTTGAGTCTTTTTTCCTGTACCTCTTGTCCTTAGACAGTCCCCCACCCTATTCTGGTCAGTTGCCCCGACCCATCCATCTTCTTCATAATTCCTTCTTCAATATGGGCCTGATCATGCCAATACTTTGCTTAAAGCTCCCTGATGAGTCTTTGATCTCTACTGAGTATTATCCAGCTTTTTTTTTTTTTTTGTTTTTTTTTTTTTTTTTTTGAGACAGAGTCCGGCTCTGTCACCCAGGCTGGAGTGCAGCAGCATGATCTTGGCTGACTGCAACCTCCACCTCCTGGGTTCAAGCGATTCTCCTGTTTCAGCCTCCGGAGTAGCTAGGATTACAGGCGTGCATCACCACGCCCAACTAATTTTTGTATTTTTAGTAGAGACGGGGTTTCACCATGTTGGTCAGGCTGGTCTTGAAAGCCTGACCTCAAGTGATCCACCCACCTTGGCCTCCCAAAGTGCTGGGATTATAGGCATGAGCCACCGTGCCCAGCCTATCCAGTTGTCTTAGCAGGATTTTAACAAACTAGTTGCAAACTATTTTCTATACTCTTTACCCACACTAAGCCACTTAACCTGCACCAGACACACTTGGGATGTTTTTGTTTCCTTATTTCTGTTTCCCCAAATCTTACTTGTTGCTTCCTCACCTCAATAAAAATTAATTGTTCCCTGTGTAACTTTACCATCAGAGTTCCCTCTCAAAAAGCAAACCTAATTTGTAAAATTCCAATTTTATGATAAAAGCATTGTTTTTAAAAATGTTTACAACCAAATATCTTTAACTAATGAAATCCCCAGGCATTTAAAAGTATTATTCTATTACTATAATTCTCTTAAAAGTATTATTCTAGCAATTTGGTTTTCAGGAACAATCTGTATTAGTTAGGAAAAATTTATTTTAATACATACTCTGTCCTGCAATGGTTTAGAGAACGAATAGGCTTGAGCAGTGTTCATGATCCAGGGGTAATGATGAATAGGTTGGGAAAATCGATAAGTAGCTCGGGGAAATCCTGAAGCTGTACAGTTTATTCTTCCTTGACTAGATTGCTGATCCAACTAAATAGCTAACTACGTCAAGGGTCACGAAGAGGGCAGAGATGAGGTGAGAGGCTGTAGACCAAGGCAAGACTCAAATAGGAATCTGGATCCAGGATAGAGGGTCTGTGGCAGTTAATAACAATTAATGCCTGTGTGCTTTTCAGAACATTGAGCTGAAGGTTGAAGTGGAGAGCTTGAAACGAGAACTCCAGGACAAGAAACAGCATCTGGATAAAACATGGTGAGTTGTAATTTTAAGCTCTGGTCCTTTCCAGAGTCTGGCTTGCTAATCTGAGAGCAACAGATTTGGAACCAAATCCTTAACCTATCTATGGCATTTGAATCCTGTGTCTGATTCAGGAACTGAAACAATAGATTTTCATATGCTGTGTTTCCCTTGGACTCTCTGTCTATTACTAGGTCAGATGGACCTTGCCATAAGTTGGTAAATCCATCAGACCTAAGATTGCAAACTTCCTTTTAGTCAGCAATCAATTAAACAGAAACAATGAATGTTTCCACTTTTAGTAGAGGCAAATGCAAATAAGCTTTATAAAAAAGTATCAGTCAGCCTATAATAACATCAAGGGCTGAGATAACGTTTGGGGAAAATGAGCACTCTCACACACTATCAGTGAGTGTAAATTGTGACAACATTTTTAGTATGTGGTGCTACCTGTTATAGTAAAAAAGGAGGATTTCCTTTGATCAAACAATCCCTAGAAGGAATCTGTTTCTTATAAATAAAAGCATTAGTGTGAAAGGATAAATGTATAAGGATGTTTATTGCATCATAAGTTGTAATGGCAAAAAACTAGAAACAATTACCAATTGATTGAATAAATTTTGATTGAATAAATTTTGGTATTACTACATGGTGGACTATTATGCAATTATTAAAGAATGAGTTAGCTCTATATTATTGTCCTAGTGGGAATTCCTTGATTAAGTATATATATTGAGGAAGAGTGAGATCACAGTCCGTGATAGGGAGAAGACTTAATTTTTTTAATATACATTTGCATTGCTCAAATGATTACTTTTATAATTTATAGTTTTTTAAAAACTTAGTGTTAAATGACAAGTATTAGAATTATTAAAAATATTTTCAGACTTCAATAAAGCTTCAGAATACAAAAATTAACATACAAAAATCAGTAGCATTTCTACACACCAATAACATTCAAGCTGAGAGCCAAATCAAGAATGCAATCCCATTTACAATATCCACTAAAAAAAAAAAATACCTTGGAATACATCTAACCAAGGAGGTGAAAGATCTCTACAAGGAGAACTACGAAACACTGCTAAAAGAAATCATAGATGACACAAACAAATGGAAAAACATTCCATGCTCATGGATCGGAAGAATCAGTATCATTAAAATGGCCACACTGCCCAAAGCAATCTACAGATTCAACACTATTCCTATCAAACTACCAGTGTCATTCATCAAATGACCAAGATCAAAGCCAGAGGCATCACACTATCCAACTTCAAACTATACTACAAGGCTACAGTTGCCAAAACAGCATGTTGCTGGGAAAAAAAAAAAAAAAGGAAAGAAAGACACATAGACCAATGGAAACAAATAGAGAACCCAAAAATAAAGCCACACACCTACAGCAGTCTGATCTTCGACAAAATCAACAAAAATAAGCAGTGGGAAAAGGCCTCCCTCTTCAATGGTGCTGGGATAACTGGCTAGCCATATGCAAAAGAATGAAACTGGGCCCCTACCTTTCAGCACATATAAAAACTAACTCAAGATGGATTAAAGATGTAAATGTAAGACCTCAAACTATAAGAATCCTAACAGAAAACCCAAGAAACACCATTCTGGACATCGGCCTCAGGAATTTATGACTAAGTCCTCAAAAGCAATTGCAACAAAAACAAAAAGAGACAAGTGGGATTTATTTAAAGAGTTTTGCACAGCAAAATAAACTATCAACAGAGTAAACAGACAACCTCTAGAATCTAAAAAAATTTGCAAACTAGCATCTGACAAGGGTCTAATATCCAGAATCCATAAGAAATTTAACAATTGAACAATGAAAAACAAATAACCCCATTTAAAAAATGAGCAAAAGGCATGATCAAACACTTTTCAAAAGAAGACATACAAATGCCCACCAAATATATGAAAAATTGCTTCACATCACTAATCACCAGAGAAATATAAATCAAAACCACAATGAGATACCATCTCACACCAGTCAGAATGGCTACTATTAAAACGTCTAAAAACAACAGATGCTGGCGAGGCTGCATAGAAATGAGAATGCTTACACGTTGTTGGTGGAAATATAAATTAGTTCAGTCACTGTGGAAAGCAGTCTGGAGATTTATCAAAGAACCTAAAACAGAACTACCATTTGACCCAGCAATCCCATTGCACCCAAATATTAATTGGATATATCCATTAATTTGGATATATCCCATTAGGGCATACATCCAAAACAAAACAAATCTATCAAAAAGACACATACACTTACATGTTCATTGCAGCACTATTCACAATAGCAAAGACATGGAATCAACCTAGGTGCCCATCAACAGTAGACTGGATTTTAAAAAAGTGTTACATCACATTTACATATATGCCATGGAATACTATACAACCACAAAAAAGAATGAAATCATGTCCTTTGCAGCAACACAGATGCCACTGGAGGCCATTATCCTAAGAAAATTAATGCAGAAACAGAAAATCAAATGCGGTAGCATGTTCTCACTTATGAGCAGGAGCTAAACAACAAGTACTCATGGACATAAAGATAGCAACAGTAGAAACTGGGGACTACTAGAGTGAGGAGGTGGGGAGTGGAGGAAGGGTTGAAAAACTAACTATTGGGTACTGTGCTCAGTACCTGGGTGATGGGATCATTTGTACCCCAAACCTCAGTATCATGTAATATACTCAGGTAACAAACCTACACAAGTAGCCCCTGAAGCTGAAATAAAAGTTGAAAAATAAGAAAAAATAATATGTAAATGCAAAAAAAAAAAAATCCAATGTTTTCAGATTATGTCCTGGGATCAGTACACAATCAATCTGATCTGGCATTCTTTCTGTGTCTACAGTATTTCTTGATATTTAAGATGACAATCCAGCAAGTTCAGAATATTTAAAACCAAATTAAATTACACACAATGTGCTGGTATTACTATTTAAAGGCATTAAATAGGCTAATAAATGTTAGAACAACTTACAATGACAATTAATAAATTTTGAAATTTGTGTAATGCTTTGATTTAAAAAACTTTTAAAAATGTCATTTGAATCAGGTGACATTATTCTATTTTTAAGAAATGAGAAAACTGAGGTATATTCTTCTCAAATCAGTGGCAGAACCCTCATCTTCTGTCATAAAGTTTAGGATCTTCTTTTTTTTTTTTTTTTTGAGAAAGAGTCACTGCAGGCTGGAGTGCAATGGCGTGATCTCAGCTCACTGCAAGCTCTGCCTCCCGGGTTCACACCATTCTCCTGCCTCAGCCTCCCGAGTAGCTGGGACTACAGGCGCCCGCCACCACGCCTGGCTAATTTTTTTTGTATTTTTAGTAGAGACGGGGTTTCACTGTGTTAGCCAGGATGGTCTCGATCTCCTGACCTTGTGATCCACCCGCCTCGGCCTTCCAAAGTGCTGGGATTACAGGCATGAGCCACCGCGCCCGGCCAAAGTTTAGGATCTTCTGACTTCAAACAGCCGTAGCGTCTTAAATAAGGCGTTCCTGGCTAATGGAGTTACTCAGAAAATGTGTAACTTCCATTCTCTATAGATTATAGTTGGTAGTTATCTATTGCACTAGCAAGAAATATGGAGTCAAATATAGATTCAAAATAAAAGTTGATGATTCCTGGGGTCTGCGTGTTTGGGGGTCTTGGGTTATACGCTTGACTTTTGTCTCTTTTGTGGTCAAGATCCTCATACCCCCCAAAAGCTATATAATGACAGAGGAGCTCAAGATAAATATAGCCCCTGGGATGGTGCTCAGTAGTGTCCACTATGCAGCAAGGAATCCTATAATCTTTAGGGAAGCATCATTGGCTCTTCATGGACACAACCCCCTGAGACAAATACTAAAGTACCACTGGTCTTAGTGCCCCATAAGCCTATACCAGTTCAATATTGTTCTTTGTCCTGAGAACAAGAAGATGGCCCATGGTTCTCAACAAATGGCTTAAAGCAGGAATAAAACCAATAGGAATCAAAATCATTCAGCATCTGATATTGCTCCCAAATTTCTAATCCTCAGACATCTGAGGGCAGCTGTTGTTCACTATAAATAAGTTGATGATACCTTACCCGCTTCATGCTAGCGCCTGGACATTCAATCCTAGGGATATCAGAGAGGCAAAGCTCAGCCCAAATCTTGAGCTTTCATGGATTAAATGTCTCTGCATGGGACCATGGGAAAGCTGGATAGAACTCTGGATAGGTAGCCCAGATGTAGGACAGCCTACTATGGATTACTGGTTTTAAAGGAAGAGAGCATTTCTGTGGCTGTCCAAATGGATATCCTGTCCCAGCAACCTAAATGGAAAGAACACTTGAATTTCAAATAGCAAAAAAGGCAAGGAACTAGCAAAGCATTCTAGGAGGCAGTGTCAGTGGAAGAGTCCCAGGACAGATGACAGTGAATGTGAGCCATTTGATGACTACTTGCCTTCCAAACGAAAGTTCCTCTGGAAGCTATAAAGATAATGAAGGCACTAGGAAGTCAAGTATATACTACTTGACAAACAACACAAAGTTAGAGTTTCTAAAAGTTTGGAACTTTTTCAACCTGAAGAAGTTGAAGAGCTCAGTTCCACAGATAACAGTAGAGGGAAAAAATGCTCAATTTTTCTTCTTATCGGTGTCACTCTGAATTACTGGAACAACCTTAATGGTTCCACTTGCTAAACTGTATGTCTGGCTCTGACTGGCTAATGCTCTGTGGTTTTAGGGCTGATGTGGAGAATCTCAACAGTCAGAATGAAGCTGAGCTCCGACGCCAGTTTGAGGAGCGACAGCAGGAGACAGAGCATGTTTATGAGCTCTTGGAGAATAAGATCCAGCTTCTGCAGGAGGTGAGGAGCTCCCAAAGTCCATAGCTAGGGGTTCTCTTTTATTCATATTCCTTTTCTTACTGCCCTGCCTTCTGGCATTCACCTTTTCCATCTCTACTTTCCCTCTCAAATTCATCAGCGTTCCTGGGTCTTAGGGCTCCTAACCTAGGTAGAAATTTTGCGGCCTCTCAGTTTTTGTTCTTTTTCCAGGAATCCAGGCTAGCAAAGAATGAAGCTGCGCGGATGGCAGCTCTGGTGGAAGCAGAGAAGGAGTGTAACCTGGAGCTCTCAGAGAAACTGAAGGGAGTCACCAAAAACTGGGAAGATGTACCAGGAGACCAGGTCAAGCCCGACCAATACGCTGAGGCCCTGGCCCAGAGGGACAAGTAGGTGCCTTTGGTGCTGTTTTTGTCGCTTGTCTTTTGCCCATTCTCAAGGCATACAGCAGCTGCACTGTTCCCTTTCAAGGATTGACAGTAGGAGCTTCACTATTTCTAAGACTTTATGGGTCCACAACCAAAGTCGTTCTTTTCAGGGTTGAATTTTCAATGGTATCCATTATGAAAACTCACTTAATGGATTCAGTGGGCAAATAGTGGCAAACAAGAGACACGGATTCACTTATTCAGCAAACATTTACTGGGCATGTCACATGCCAGATACTGGGCTAAGCACTTCAGTTACAGAAACAAAAGACCTAGTTCTTGTCACCAAGAAACATGTTACATGATTTTAATAAGTTCCCTGATAGAAGAGCATGGAGTGCTCTGGGGAAATGAGGGTCATCCATTCTACATTAAAACAGCAAGTTGTCTGCTACGGTCTGAATATTTGTGTCCCATCCCCACCTCCCTCCCCCGCCAGTTCATGTGTTGAAATCTTAACCCTTAAGGTTAATACTTCTGCCTCCAGAAGTATTATGAGGTGGAGCCATTAGGAGGTGATTAGATCACTGGAGATGGAACCCTCATAAATGGGATTAATACGCTTGTAAAAGAGACCCCAGAGAGCTAGTTAGCCCCTTCTACCACGTGAGGATATAGTGGGAATGCACCATTATGAGCCAGAGTGTGGACCTTCACCAGACATTGAACCTGTCGGTGCTTTGATCTAGGACTTCCCAGCCTCCAAAACTGTGTGAAATACATTTCCGTTGTTTATAAGCCACCCAGTTTATGGTGTTTTGTTATAGCAGGCCAAAAAGACTAAGATAATGCCATTGAAGGTTTCCTAGAGGAAGTGAAATCTGAGCTGAGGTTTGAAGGATGAATAGGAGCTAGAAGAAATAGGTAGAAAGTGGATAGGGAAAGGAAATATTCTATGCAGAAGGAGAAACTATGGAGGGAAGACACAGGGAAAGGAATATTTCAAGAACTTTAAATAATTGTACATAAGTGGAGCAAGTGAGAAGACAAGTGAGAGGTAGGCTGTTTTGAGAACAGGGGTCTGATTGTGCCAGCTTTGTACACCATTATAAGGAACTTGGACTTGGTCCTGAAGGTAACTGGGCAATTGTTGAGGTCACCACAATCTACTGTCTGGGTTACTGCAGAAACTTTCTAAATGTCAGCTCTACTTCCAGTTCTGCTCCTCTCATTCAATCTCAACCTAATAATTCAGAGTAGTTCTGAAACAGACAATTCAACAACCACAAATTGGCAAATAATTTAGCCTCTTAGGTGCGTAAGACTGTGATGGCATAAAAAGCTTTAAGGAGCTTTTAGCTGAATAGGCAAAAACCACATGTGCACACCATGACCAATGTGATCTTTCCAAGACATAAATTTAATTGCACCATTGCAGAGCCATTTAAGAAGCTTTCCAATACCTTTAGGGGGTAAGATCCATACTCCTCATGTGGCCATCAGAACCTTTATGATGTAACCTCTGATTTCTCCCACACTCATCACCCACCACCATTCCTTCATACTTCATTCATGCCAGGCTAGTAATAATAATAATGATGGCCAAGCTTTGTTGAGCTATTACCGTATAGCTGAGTACTTTATGTTCTTGTTTAACAGCCCCATGAGATATGAATTATTATTCTTTATTAATGAAAAAACTGGCATTTGGAGAGTTGTGAAACATGGTTTCAGGGATTGCTGACATCCAAACCCTGAATCCATACTGCCTCCAGAAGCATAAGAAGCTATGGCAGGTCTCCAGAATTTTGCTCATGCTTTTCCTTCTGTAGGAAACATCTGCCAACTTTTTCCCTTCTAGTGAACCTCACTAAGGCATCAATCGTCATTTCTTTGAAGGCTTTGTGATAGCAGAATGAAGTTTCTGTATTGTTTCTTATATATATATATATATAGTACAATTCTCAGTATGGTGGTATATTTGCTTGCTTTCAGATTTTCCCTTCTAGGTTCCCCACGACTGTCTCCTATTTGAACCCCAATTAAAAAAAACTGAACTAAAAACCAAAACAAAACAAAACCCCAAGTAAAGCACATGCACATCTGAAAATAAATTGAGGCCACTCATATCAGATGGCCTTGAGCAATTTTGGAGAGTGGGAGAACAGATCCTCTGTAGAGACTGAGGGTCAAAGAGATGAGCGAGGTTTGAGGTTTAAGAAAAGTAGAGATGTTCTAGTGCAGATACCATGAGGGAATTTCATATGGAGTCCACATTCCTCCTCCTCATCATCATTGCAGTTTACATTTGTATAATGTTTTTAATTTTTTTGTTTTTGTTTTTTGAGACGGAGTCTCGCTCTGTTGCCCAGGGTGGGGTACAGTGGCAAGATCTCAGCTCACTGCAACCTCTGCCTGCGAGGCTCAAGCAATTCTGCTGCCTCAGCCTTCTGAGTAGCTAGGATTACAGGGGTGCACCACCATGCCCAGCTAATTTTTGTGTTTTTAGTAGAGACAGGGTTTTACTATGTTGGTCAGGCTGATCTCAAACTCCTGACCTCAGGTGATCCGCCCGCCTTGGCCTCCCAAAGTGCTGGGTTTACAGGGATTACAGGCGTGAGCCTGTAATGTTAAGTTTTTAAAGTTATTTCTGCCGGGCACGGTGGCTCACACCTGTAATCCCAGCACTTTGGGAGTCTGAGGCAGGCGGATCATGAGATTGAGACCATCTTGGCCAACATGGTGAGATCCCGTCTCAACTAAAAAATACAAAAATTAGTTGGGCGTGGTGGTGCATGCCTGTAGTCCCAGCTACTCGGGAGGCTGAGGCAGGAGAATCATTTGAACCGGGGAGGCGAAGGTTGCAGTGAGCCGAGATTGCGCCACTGCACTCCAGCCTGGCGACAGAGAAAGACTCCATCTCAAAAAAAAAAAAAAAAAAAAAAAAAATCACAACTGGAAACATTTCATTTAGTACCCAGCACGCATTTTCAAGGACCTGGAAGGTTCATGTTCTAATATATACAAACAGAGAATATGCCTAGCACATAGATGATCAATAAGTTTAATTGAACCCATAGTTTGGATACCTCAGCACAGTATTTTAAAACTTAACCCTAGTCTGAGGGTCTGAATTTTCAGTCTCTTCTCCAGCCATTGCCTCTTCCCTGGGCCTTAGTTCCAGTGACTCTTCCCAAATTGTACACTGGGTCTTCGTGCCTTTGTTCCTTTGTTCAATCTCCTCCTTCTGAGCCTGGAAAACCACCCAAGTCTTTGCTATTGTAAATAGTATGCAGTGAACATTTGCATGTATATGTCTTCAGGGTAGAAAGATTTATATCCCTCTGGGTATACCCAGAAATGGGATTGCTGGGTCGAATGGTAGTTCTGCTTTTTGTTCTTTGAGGAATCACCATACTGCTTTCTACAATGGTTGGACTAATTTAACACTCCCATCAACAGTGTATAAGTGTTTCCTTTTCTCTGCACCTCACTAACGTCTGTTATTTTTTGACTTTTTAACCATAGTCATTCTGATTGGTGTGAGACGGTATCACATGGTGATTTTGATTGCATTTCTCTAGTGATCAGTGTTATTGAGGTTTTTATCATATGCTTGTTGGCTGCAGGTATGTCTTTTGAAGTGTCTGTTTATGTCCTTTGCCAATTTTTTTAATGGGGTTGTTTTTCTCTTGTTGTTTACATTTCTTATAGATGCTGGATATTGGACCTTTGTCCATTGCATAGTTTTCAAATATTTTCTCCCATTCTGTAGGTTTTCTGTTTACTCTGAAACCACTCAATCTTTAAAATCTTTTCTCCTGGGCATCACTATACTCCTTCAAGTCAAATGAATCATTTCTTTATTTTTCTTCCTATAGCTCTATGGCAGCACTCAATGTACTATATGGTGCCACCATTCTGGTAGCATTTATTATATTCTATTACTATTATTTGCTTATGTACAGTCACGCATCACAAACTACAGGGATATGTTCTGAGAAATGTATCTTTAGGCAATTTCATTCTTCATTGTGTGGCCACAGAGCATACTTACACAAACCTTGATGGGATAGGCTACTGCACACCTAGGCTATATGGTATAGCCTATGGCTTCTGGGCTACAAACCTGTACAGCATATTACTGTACTGAATACCATCGGCAATTGTAACACAATGGTAACCATTTGTGCATCTAAACATAGAAAAGATACAGTAAAAATACTATATAAAACATAACAAATAGTACACCTGTTTAGGGCACTGACCATAAATGGAACTTGCAGGACTGGAACATGCTATGGGTGAGTGAGTGAGTAGTGAAGTGAATGAACATGAAGGCCTGAAACACATTTTATAGTCATACAAAAATATTTTCCTTATATCCTTATTCTAGAAAAGGTTTATTCTGTTTTTAAATTTTAAATTTTTTTTTTTTTTACTTTTTAAACTTTTTTGTTAAAAACTAAGACACAAACATACACATAAGCCTAGGTCTACACAGTGTCAGGATCATCACCACTGTCTTCCACCTTTACATCTTGTCTCCTGGAAGATCTTCAGGGACAATAACACACATGGAGCTGTCATCTCCTATGATAACAACACCTTCTTCTGGAATAGCTCCTGAAGGACCTGACTGAGGCTACTTTACAGTTATGTTGTTTAATAAGTAGAAAGAGTACACTCTAAAACAACAGTAAAAGTATAGTATAGTAAATACATAAACCAGTAACATTTATTATCAAGTATTACATACTATACTTATGTTATGTTTTTATACAACTGCCAGTGCAGTAGGTTTGCTTACACCAACACCACCACAAACAGTGGGAAATACATTGCACTATGATGTTACTGCAGCTAGGACTTTACTAGGTGATAGGATATATGCAGTATGATGACATAATGTTGACAGAAACAGGATATGGCACATGACTGTAGCTGTGTGTCTTCTCACTCTCCAAATCACTAGCAAACATGTGCCGGTGGAATTTAAATTTTTGCAAAACAGAGATTGTTTCTTTTCCAACTTCATATTTCCAGTACTTGGGAGAGTGCATTGAGTACACAAAATAGTTATCCAAGAACCGTTTCTTGAATGGAACAGCCACTACCACCACCATCAAAAAATTCTAGGCCCTTATTCCAAGAGTTAAATACCTACGGTCTAAAGATCTATGAATAAACTTCAGGAAGTTCATGAACCTGGTGAAAATGTAAGCAAAAAGTTGTTTGTGTATGTATTTGGGGGCTGGGCAGAAAATACATGGTTTTCTAAAGAAATGTATCAAAATGTTCAATGATCCAAAAGGGTAAAAACCTGCTGTACTAGACCATGCTATCTTTGGAATGAGGTGAAAAAATAAGGTAATAATAGTATCATAATCATAATTATTGTCCTTACTTTTCCTTTGCTTCAGGAGAATCGAAGAACTGAATCAGAGCCTGGCTGCCCAGGAGAGGCTTGTAGAACAGCTATCTCGGGAGAAACAACAACTGCTACATCTGTTGGAGGAGCCAGCTAGCATGGAAGTGCAGGTAAGGCTTGGTCAGTACATCCAGAGGCACTTGCTTCATGCTTTCATAAGCCCTACTTTTTAATATCTACGTGTATTTGTTATCTATTGCTTTGTAACAGATTACTGCAAACTTAGCAGTTTAAAACACCTTATTTTTGTTATCTCACAGTTTCTGTGAGTCAAGAGTCCAGATATGGCTTAGCTGGGATCTCTGTTTGGAGTCTCAGAAGTGTGAAATCAAGGTGTAGACTGGGCCCTTTTCTCATCTGGAGGCACACCTAGGGGAGGATCGACTTCTAAGCTCCTTCAGGCTGTTGGAAGGATTTACTGCTGTGTGGCTGTAGAAGTTATGGCAGCTTCCTTCTTCATAGCCAGCAGCAGAAAGAGTCTGTTACTTTTCTCACTTCTAGACCCTCTTTTAAGGGGCTCATTAGGTCAGGCCCACCAGCATAGTCTCCCTTTTCGTTAACTTAAAATCAACTGATTAGAAGCCTTAATTACATCTATATGACCTCTTTACTTTTTCCATATAACATTAGCATAACTCTGCAGTGACATTCCATCACCTTTGCCATACTGGTTAGAAGTTACAGGTTTTGCCCATCTTCAAGGGGTGAGGATTACACAAAGATGTGATGGCCAGTGGGTGAGAATTATAGGGACTACCTTAGAATTTGCCAGCCGCATCAAGTGATTTATAATTATATAGAACATACAATGTTTTAGGGGTTTCTTTGAAGGTTAAGTTGTAAAATACTGTGCTGAAGTGTACAAACTATGGGTTCAAATAAACAGTTACTAATCATCTATGAGCTAGGCATGTTCTCTGTTTGTATATATTAGAGTGTGAACCTTGCAGATCCTTGAAAATGTGCTGGGTACTAGATGAAATGGTGATTACTATTTCTGTACAATTTTATCAGACAAAGATAGAAATTTGCCTCCAAATTTTTTTTTTTTTTTTTGATACGGAGTCTTACTCTGTTGCCCAGGCTGGAGTGCAGTGGCATGATCTCAGCTCACTGCAACCTCTGCCTCCCAGGTTCAAGAGGTTCTTCTGCCTCAGCCTCCTGAGTAGCTGGGATTACAGGCGCATGCTACCACACTCAGCTAATATTTGTATTTTTAGTAGAGATGGGGTTTCACCATGCTGGCCAGGCTGGTCTTGCACTCCTGACCCCAGGTGATCTGCCCGCCTTGGCCTCCCAAAGTGCTGGTATTACAGGCGTGAGCCACCGCACCTGGCCATAATGTGGTTTTAATATTGAAAAAAAAAACTCACTGTGGTAAAAATAATTGCATTTATTTTCTGGGAAGTTACCTCAAAGGGAACTCCTCTCCTTCATTCAACTTTTAATTTATTAAAACGATATTTTCTAAAAGAACTTTAGAATATACCTGCACCCAAACAACGTAAGCAATTACCTGGTATCCTTATATTCTTGCACTGGTCTTAGACTACTGATAAGACAAAATGTGGGTGGTTTACTTTATTGGTTCACATATGGAAAGGTTGGGGTCAAGATAAAAGAGCAATGATAGGAATTAGTTTAAACCATTGCTTCCCAACCTTTCCATTTCATGGCACATATAGCAAATGGTAATATTTGTAAGGTATGGAGGTAAACGGATGAAGCTTCTTACTTGGAGGTGGCCAATTTGGGTGCTTAGGCCACTATGAGGGCAGAAAAAAAATCACTATCTTGGCCACAATTACAAACTTCTTAGACTGCAGCTTCATTTTGGTTGGAAAGCTCTGGTTAACAAACTCAAGAAATGATGTGTGTGCACATAATTTTACAAGTATCAATACAAATTGAAGTTCATAGGCTTTTTGCAAGATACATGTTGAAATATATGGAAATTTTCTTAAGGGACTCTTGAAAATATTTCTTCTTTTTTTTTTTTTTTGAGACAGTCTCTCGCTCTGTTGCCCAGGCTGGAGTGCAGTGGTGCGATCTTGGTTCACTGCAAACTCTGCCTCCCAGGTTCACGCCATTCTCCTGCCTTAGCCTCCCAAGTAGCTGGGACTACAGGCACCCACCACCATGCCCGGCTGATTTTTTGTTATTTTTAGTAGCGACGGGGTTTCACTGTGTTAGCCAGGTTGGTCTCGATCTCCTGACCTTGCGATCCATCCATCTTGGCCTCCCAAAGTGGTGGGATTACAGGCATGAGCCACCATGCCTGGTCGAAAATATTTCATAATACATTTAATTTAAAAAATTTCAACTGAGAATAAGAATTGAATTTCCATCCTGATTATTTGTTAGCTGTGTGACTATGAATATGTCATTTCTCAGCTTTCATATACATAAAATGGGAAGATTACCTCAAATAATCTCTATAGTTTCCTATAATGCTAACATTCTATTTTTATCTTATTTCAGAATTTTATTCCATTCTATTTTAGTTCAGAATTTACACAAGTATTATTTCTTTCAAAATGTTCACCTTCTGAAATGAAATCACTTTTATTGCTCCTTTTTTATTTACAGGCACATAAATACTAAAATATTTTGTACATATATGTATTTTCATCATCTTTGGTAAGCACTGAAATCAATATATTTAGTTCAGTATTTTCAATGCTAATTAAGGAATTGGTTTGGTACCAGTTTTCAGAAGACTTAAAGAACCAAAAGGTTATAATTTCAAAGAGACTAAATAATTTATATTCTATTCTAAAAGGATGCTTAGAACAAGAATAAGTACAGCATCCAGGGGATAATATTGCATGACCATTGGGCAGAAGAAATGCATCAAATCACATAAACTGTACTAAATTGATATGCTTTTTTAACATTGCCTAATAAAAATTTATTGTTATTGTTATTACCCAATACGTTGTACATTTAGAAACCTGATACATTGTGCTGTTTGTTCTATAAGACAGTGTTTCCTACCCTTTTTCATAGAAAATTCATTTTCATAGGAAATGTGTACATCTATGGTATTCTGAAATAAGTGACCATGGCTGCTCACGGTTTGAGGCAATTGCTCATGGCCCCCTCAGGACCCATGCGCCACCCTGAGAGGTGAGGGGATCAGCATCTTTGCACAGTGGTGGACCATGCTGAGGTACACTGTGCTGGAATACCCAGGTTGGAAACCTCAGCCACAGGAGGCCTCTGACAGTTGGTCCTCTCAAGTGTGGAGAATAGAAAGCCTCCCACAGCATATTTCCTTGTTTCTCCCTTTGGGTCTACGTCTTACAGGAAAAAAAAAAAATTGGGCCCAAGGACTAGTAGTGTCTTCCCTCAATTTACACAGTAGTTTAATTCATGGAAAAATTTAGTGTAAATTAACATCGTGCCCCTATATACAGAAGAATTAAGTTCTAGGTTCAGATGATTGTAAACAGTTTTATCATCAACCAATGGAACATTCAAATTCCAAAAGTCATTTGGAATTTGGGACAATACTTTGTCCTGTAACATCCCTTGCCTCACTTATCATTGTGACAACATCAAAAACAAGAAACACCCCCATAAATTTTCAAAATGCTCTCTAGGAGATGAGACAGTTGCTCAGTGAGTATCACTACTATAGGGAGTCCTAGCCTTCCAAAGGTTTATAGTCCGATGAAAGATTGGTATGTAAACAAAGAACTAAAATACAGTGTGATAAATGAGGAGATGGAAATACACGCATGGTGCTAAAGGAACCCACAGCTGAAAGGGATTAACTCCAAGGAGGAACTCACCTGGAGGTCACCCTTCTGTTGGGCCTTAAAGACTGGATACACCAGGTAGAAAATAGGAAATGGAGCAATATATACAGTGATGTGGAACACAACTAAGGAATTGGAATTGGGAGTAATCGATGTTACCAAAAATAAGTATTGGAGAATTATAAAATACATAGCTGGAAAGTACCATAAATGTTGAGCTAAGGGCTTCATGTTGTAGGCACCAGAAAAAAAAAAAGCAAGGGGAATAAAAGCATATGATTTGCATTTAGAAAGGCAATCCTAGTTGTCGTGGAGACTGAGGATTGTTTGAAGAGCAGATAATTGATGTCACCTGTTGAGAGAGCAAATCATAATCTGACACAGCTATGAACTGCTTTGTCAAGTCTGTTCTTTGAATTGGTTGGGGGAAAGAATATTATAAAACCAATTACAAAGCACTTTGTCTCTCCCCTCTGCACAGGTAATGTATGATGAACCTGGGTATTTGTGACTCTTGGAGTCTATGTTGTGGGTGTTATCCTTGTCTGCTAACAGTATACTTCCGCTGTAATAGTTAGAGTTCCACTGTATTCTACTCAAACCTTGTCTGCCATGCCAACTGTCACCACAGAAGAAAGACCCTTACAATGTGGAAGGCAAAAGTTCAATTTCTAAGCTCTGGGCCTATTCTTCAGAGGCTAAAGAATCTCCTCAACTCCAGTCAAGCCATCCCTGGAATCCCTCACTGATTCAGCTGGAGGATGGAGGAGCTTGAGTTCTAAAGACTTATTCATGTCCTTTAATTCCACCTACACTTCACAATTGAGAATACCACAAACAGCTGGGCCTTAGAAGAAAGAAGAGCTCACAGATCTTGCACTTCTAGGTCTGAATTGTCCAGGTGAAGAACACTCATTGACCCCACATCCCATAGATAACTATTTCTCATGTGATCCCAGTATGCAAGTCTGGAGTATAATGAGTATAATATACTCATTATAATATCTGAGTACAGGAAGTTCATTCAGAGTCTTCATTCCCTCAAATAAGACAGACACTTTTGATAAAGATTATTTAATTGATCTTACAGTCTTTTTAGCTGTTTTCCTTTTCCATTCTACCAAAACATTCTACAACATTCACTTTAGTGGGAGTGCACTTGTACAATATTTATGAACATCTATAATTCTCACAAAACAAAAAAAGTACCACTAACTAGACATGCCATTGATTGACATCATTTCATATTTCCTTCCAATCCTTTTTGATGTCCATTCAGATCAATAGTATGTGTGATCAGAGTGTTGAGGAGCTTTTTGATGTGAGGCTGTGACATCTTGTCCACA